CTCTGTGTCATTTGCCTTGGTTTTTAGATCTTCGATTTCTGCTTGAGCATATTGCAGGCTTGTTTGTAGGGATTTATTTTCTTCTTCAAGTTGATTGATTCTGGACTTATAATTTTCCAACTCGGAAAGGACACTTAAGAGTAAGTTGAGCTTCTCTTCAATGCTGCTGAGTCTTGAGTTCGTTACATCACTACAATGTCCACATGGCTGCCTGCAGTCTTCTTCGTCAGTTTGGGAGCCTCCTTCTCGAGTTCTTTTCCCCCATTTCTCCTTCACGTCATTTCTATTACCTTGTCCATTAGGCATTTTGTCACATTTAAGATATAACAACCATTACTGTGGCTACCAGGTTAAAAGATTCTAGGAGCTCTTGCGTGTTGTGTCTGCCATGTTTCACAGCTCGAGCCCAGTCTTCCACTGTTGATTTACAGTGTCTTCTTCATCATTGTCTTGCTCGTCTATGCTAATCAAGGATTGGAACTTGTTCCTCAGCTGTAGGACAAAGGCATTTTTAGCCTTAGGGTCTTGTAGTCTGCTGATGTCATATCTAGGGGTGTTGTGTTTGTTTGGCTCAGCTGCTTCGAGTTTCAGCCTCACCTTTGCAGTCACAAGATGGTGGTCGCTGCTTACATCAGCCCCTCTTCTTACTCTTACGTCAAGCAGGGAGTGGCGTCACATGCTGTTAACCATGAGATGATCTATTTGGTTTTGATCCCACCCATTGGGGGATGTCCAGGTGAGTTTGTGAATGTTACAATGCAGGAGTAAAGTTCCATCGATGATCATGTTATTGAATGCACACCACTCTACCAGCCTCCCTCCATTATCATTCTGCACTCCACATCACGGTTTTACTCAAGGTACGTAAAAGTGATGGTGATTCAGATCTACAACCCCATGATTGATGCTGACGATGAGGACAAGGAGATCTTCTATGAGTTGCTCCAGAAGGAAATAGTTGCCACACCACTCCATGACCTAATGATCCTGCTTGGCAATGCAAATGCTGAGGTGGGATCTGAAAACACTGGCTGGGAAGGCACCATCACTGATAATGCAAAAGTTTCATTAATGGCTGGGCCGCAGGCAAATTGCCTGTCTGTGAGGACAACTATGCCCACCTGGTTTGACCATTTAGAAAAGAAGTTCAGTTCAAAAAGTTTTGCCCATCTGTGAAAACCAGTTGCCCTCCTGCTGAGAGTTCATGAAACCTCTTGATAATGGCCTAAAATTTGCATCTCTCTGTGCTGAAAACAGTCTTGTCACAGGAGGCAGTCATTTCAAACATAAGTACATGTGGACATCACCAAAATAATGACCACGACAGGAATCAGATCGATCATGTGACAATTTGAAGAAGATTCAGGAGATCGCTACTTGCGAGGCACAGCGAGGAGCACATACAGCAGGTGACCATCACCTGGTCAGATGCAAAATATGCCTACAGCTGACAAGAAACAGAAAGAAAAAAGTCAAGGACCATCTATGACACCACAAAGGTAAAAGATCTTTTGCACCAGCCGAACTTTAGCATAGCCCCTAAGAACTATTTTGAGGCTCTAGACAGTGATGTCACATGCATGGACAGGTACAGAGACATCTACTGCACCATGGCAGCTGAAACACTCAGGCAAAGAGCAAGGAGATGGAAGGACTGGTTGAGTCCCTCCACCTGGACCTGCATTCAAGAAAGGTGGGAGCTAAAACACGGTATTGTGAACTGCTGCTCAGAAAGAGTGGGGGAAAACAGACAGCAAATGTACCAGATGAAACATAAGGAATTGAAAAAGAGAGCAACAGCACACAAGAGGAGGACCTTGGAAAGAGAAGCTGAAGAGGGGGAAAGAGTAGCACACCAAAATAATCTGAAAGAGTTCTACTAAGAGTTCCAAGCACTGAAATACCAACTAAAAAGATGATAAAGTCATCACTACAGAGAAAGTGCTTGAAAGGTGGAAAGAGCATTTCTATGAAATCTTGAGTGGGGATTGTAAGGAAACTGACCTGCCTGAAGGACGCCAGCTCAACTAGTACGAAGAACCCATAGAGATGGATACAGGCCCCTTTACAATCCAAGAACTGAGACAAACCATATCTCGGTTGAAGAATGGTAAAGCACCTTGTGTGGACAATATTAGTGCAGAACTGCTCAAAGCCAGCCTTGCAATCTCGCCTTGAACCAGCTTCTGAATATCTGCAATCAGATTCTCAATCAGTGTTAAGCCATCTGACTGGAGGAGAGCCCTCTTGGACAAAATACCAAAGAAAGGTGATCCATCTATTTGTGACAGTTACTGAGGATATCCTTACTTTCAGTACCATACAAGGTCTTCAACCAAATGCTTCTGATGAGGATGCAGGAAGGAGTCAAGAAGAGATTACGGCAAGAATAGGCTGCCTACAGCAGAGGAGGGGGATCAACTGAACAGATCTTCATCCTTAGAAATATCTTAGAGCAGATTGCTGAGTGGCAAACACCCTTGTACAGCGGTTTCATCGATTTCAAGAGGGCCTTTAATAGTGTAAGAAGAGATCATCTCTGGAACATTCTTAGGCATTATGGCATTCCTGATAACTTTGCGAACATCATGCAACAACTTTCTAATGGTAGCACCTGCTGCATTGTTGAAAACGGACGAACATTGGCCATGGACTGGTTTCCTGTAGAGACAGGAGTCAAGCAGGGCTGCGTTATGCCTGTATTTTTCTTCAACATCATCATCGACTGGACAATGACGAACACCACCAATGCAAGGAGAGGTCTGAGGTGGAAGTTCACCGTGGTCCTAGAGGATCTTAACTATGCAGACGACATAGCCCTTCTCTCAAGCCAGCACAAAAATCTCCACGAGAAGTGCAGCTGCCACCATCAGGTCTCAAGGTACACCAGACTCTGAATCAACACCACCAAGACAAAGGTGCTACAAACGAATGCCGAGGTTGCTTAAGCGATGTCCATTGATGGACTAGAGGTTGAAGACATCAACTCCTTCGTCTACCTAGGAGCCACAGTCCATGAAGCAGGTGGGCTACACGAAGACATCACACACAGGCTGTCATTTGCAAGAAGGGCATATGCCATTCTCAATCCTGTCTGGAGGTCAAAGATATACAGTAAACACACAAAGCTGAGAACCCTCAAGAGCTGCATGACCTCTGCTCTCCTGTGACATACTGTAACAGTTGAAACTCCATAAATTAACTGACCGACCGACCGACCGACCGACAGTTAAGGCAAGGCTGTTGTTTAAGAAATATTACAAGGAGTCCAAAGGTCCTAACTATGAAATCCTGGATGCCCACCACTTAAGCTTGTATGAAAAAGTAAGATTTTCTTATTGCCCAAAGGCAAAAGTTAGTTGTCTGTGGCACCCAGGCACTTCAAGAGCACAGCTCTAGAAGGTCCTGTCTTGAGTGGAGAGAAAGACAATAAATACCAAGTTGCTCCCACCTGAACCCCTGAAGGCAAGAGAAGGCTCAGCAGACCACTGGGTTGGACAAGATGGAATGAGGCAGAACAGGAAGCGAAAGACCATGATGGATGGAAGTTGTTGCTGTGTAGCCTTATGGTCCATTCACAGGAGTGAAGAGGATGAGTGAGTGTGAGTGTGTTTGAACTCTATCAATATAGAATCTTCTTTCATATTCCCTGTGGGAAAGGGGGAGGGGCTAAGAGATGGCTTCCATTTCAGCAAAAGCAACTGTTAATGATACAGATACACCACTGACAGTCGATCCATATACTATCAACAGTCTACCGATATACCACCGACAGTCCACTGATATGCTGCTGACTATTGTTCATGATGTAACAGTCGAGGGGTCGGCTGAGTGTTGATCAACATACTGACCAAGTGTTGACCAATAGTGGAGACTGACAGTCTACCAGCTTGAATAACCTGGCACATTTGAAGCGTCGCTAAAACTTTGCACTATTTTAAAGCCCCATCATTTTTAAGAGACGATTCCTCAGAAGAGCAAACAACTTTATTTGTAATTGGACAAATAAAAATTAAGACAGTGAGGTGTATGTAATGAACTTTGTTGCATATTTAAGACTGCAATATGCAACTGGTAGGAGAGAATTATAAATCCTCTGCTCCTTGAGAACACTTATATTGTAACATTCATACCCTAAGTAATGTCTTTGACAAGTCCATTAACTTCCATTGTCAAAGTAACAAAAGCAGCGAACAATAACCAAGCTTATACATACTAACACTGCCATTCAACCCAAATTCAAAACGCAGTGTAATGCGTCAAACTGCACACACACGTTAGCACACATTTCTAGTGTATTCTAATCTGGGTTTTGGTCACTTATCTTGGAGTGTTAATGTATAACTATAATGCACAATGATGTAGACAATGTATTACTGTCAATTTACTTGCAATTACATGTAGCATTACCTCAAAATGACCATGACAAGCACTTACCTCATGAAGGGATCCTTGCAGCTGCTGTTCTTTGGAGTCATATTCTGCTTGAGCTGGTGGATTGCTCCCCTGACAAAGACGACCTTGATTTGGAGATCCTTGCAAAGACTGTAAACCTTGTTCAGGATTTTCTTGCAATGGGTTCTTCACTACTTCTTGGAAGTGCTGACCAGAAGACTGCTTCTCTGGTGAGGTGGGTAATTGGGAAGAATCCCCACAATGAACATGCTTCTGGTAGGGATACCTTTCTGCCCCTCCAGGTAATGCTGATGCAATTTCTGAATAGGTTTTCTTTCCAACTTCTTCCCATTTATCACAAAGTGCCTGCACTCTACTACTCGCTGTTTGATTGGGAGCACCCTTGACTTGCCCTTCTGCTGTAGAATGTGCACCCAACACTTGCCTGGGTTCACCACTAGATGAACCTTCCATGCTCCCACTGATGTCAACTGATGCTTCATAATTCTCTGGATGCTCTGCTAAAGGTATTGAATTGTTTCTCTTCTTACCATCATTGCCATTGTCGGACATCTTCTGCCCCCCTGTGAATCAAAAATGCTAATAGTTTGTATTCATTATATGAGTTTCAGAAAGTCTATTCAAGGAAAAGATAACAGGTTCTCAATCAGCCAGGAACATGCAATATTAGGTGAGTATAACAAACATCTCTTTTTTGCTCTTTTATGTTTTCCCTTGGTGTTAGAAGCTAAGATTCCATACAATAACTTGTTCTTGAAGACCTGCCTCAAAGAGCAAACAATGCCTACTGTATACATGGGACCTAGAATTGCATTTTAGGCACTTCTTTGATGAATCAGCCAATGTTAACACTCCTTTTCAGTTGACGCTGTAACAAAGCATCATGGCAAGCCTGCAAATAACAGTCGGTCATTGGACAACTGTCTGGTAAATTTGAGGTTTTGACAGGTAAAAGCTTAGCCTGGCCGGACACTCAAACCGGCATTTCTGCTAAACGAAAAATAATTTAATTGGAAATTTGTGGCCGAATATGGAACAAGTTATTTTATTATACTGCCACACAATACTACGCAAAAAAGCTTTGTCATCATTTTCGTTTTTATTCATTTCTGAGAAATAATTTTATCACGCCCAATGTGTTGTCTCAAATGTCACGTCAAATTGTAAACACGCCACATCAGTACCACTATTCAGGCTAAGTGTTAATTTACGCATTTTGCGGTGGTGTCTTGAAAGATTGTGAAGCCCCATTTAGTCTGAATTACATTCGCCTGAAAAACTACTTAAATCTGAGGTCTTACATCTTGTTATGCGTTGTTTGTTATCTACAAGTGTTGCAGAATTTTGAGTTTCAGTTGTAATTTGACCCCACTAAAATATTATGCAAATTGGATACACAACCCAAATTCTCACGTTTTGTTTATCTGAATGCAATCGCTTTCAAAAACTTTAAAACCTCTAAAACGAACCCACATGTATTTCCAGTCCATATGATCAAAAATCAGTTTTATAGCTCTTTAGAGTTTTATTTTTTACATCTGTCGTTTAATATATTTTGAATTAGTTTCTGTGCCACTGACATGTTTTCGTGAAAAGCGTGAATGAACAAATTAGTCATGCTTTCTAGTCATAACCACTTCTAATCTGAATTTCATCAATAAACTGCACAAATTTTTTTATTCAATTGACCCCAAAAATTTGCAAGGAAACTTGCCTTCAGAAAAAGTCAAAGAATTCATTTCAGCCAATTTTCAAGTCTCTGAATGTTATTGTGAGTGAGTTTTTCTACTGACAAGCTGTCCAGGTGGGAAGCTTGATACACAGAAAAATACAAAATACATGTGTGATCAAGTGAGTGAAGGCAAACTACAGGTGCAAACAATACCTGACTTAATGTAAAGGTCCCCTTTCTGGTGCTAGTATCAATTTTACACTCAGTTTACTTTACTTTTAAGCCATTTGAATTTGCAACCAACATTTTGGTGAAGGGTCTAAACTGAAACACCAAAATGTCTCAAATGTCTCTTATTTGTCATTTTTGATGCAAAAGGTGACCATAGAAATGTATGACCCATTAAGGTGGCTCAAGACAGTTTCCAGCAGTCAGATTTTGATGGGTCATTATAACCACTCTTTGATCACTTGATGCTGCAATCATGGTATCAAAAAACTGCCCAAACTGTAACATTGGTACTGGTTCAGTACCAATGTTACAAACTGCTACAAATTATTTCAAAAGCCCAGTTTAAGGAGCAACACTAAATGTATGCATATGTTACCAATGCAAAAATAAATGTGTGATCACAAGTGTGATTCCAAGTGTGATCAAGTGTGATCATAAGTATGATTTTTCATAAGTGTGAATCACACTAAAATCACACTAAAATCACACTTTTTCTCACTCCAAATCACACTTCTGCAATGTGATATACAGTGTGAAAAATGTGTGAAAGAAGTGTGAAAGATGTGTGAATCACACTTAAAAATTTTATATAAAGTGTGATCTCATGTGTGATCACACTTATGAAAGTGTGACTTTGGTTGTAACACTCTTGCTAATTATGCTTACAAGAGGCCCCGCGGGATATCTGGTATTTTTGCACGCGCGTGAGGTCAATATGTTAATAAGACTAGTGGTTTAAATTCTGTGGCAACGGTCAAACTAACATCCTTCGAGTTATATTAGAGCTAGTCGTTGTCGCTGTTCTTATAATTTCCTTTTCGCGATCATCGTCTACCAGAAGTCAATCATTCATATCAGGAAAAAGCTGTAAGTTTGTGTTTTTCAGGGTTTGTCCGTTCAGCCATCTAATGTTGTAAATAATTGCTTATTTTTGTTCTATTTTCATTCAAATTCGTTGTCGTGAATAAACTTAAACGTTTGTTCTTTTTTAAAACGATGTTTGGAGACTGATCGAGATTGGCTTCACGATATGGCAGTAACATTGGTTGAATCACACATCTCTTCACTTAAAGTGCCTATGAAGTAAAAAATAATTGCTGCTTATTCGGAAGGCTTTTCAAAGTAAAGAAGAATGGCATTTTCCTTTCAGGAATATCTTTTTTTGTTTTAGAGATATTCACGTTTTTGTGTTATGCAAATGAGGAAAGTGATGACATCATAGGTGGTTCCACTAAACAGCACAACACTCAATCCAGAATAACTCTAGGAATATTAAAGCAGCGTTCTTCAAACTTGGCACCAGCAATGTACATCACAAAAGAAACAGAATGACACCTACTATGTTGTTGCCATGGCAACACTTTTGGCTCAAGTCTCTTTCTGTGAAAAATCGAATATCCCCATTTGCCACCTTTTAAAGTGGGACAGAGGGTCTTACTTGGAACATGCATGGTTCCCATATTGTCTCAACTATCCCCATTAGATGGGTGGGAGTGGGTGATCCTTGTTAAAGATAAAATATAGGAATTTTAGTCTTAATTAAAACAGAACCAGCTGCATAACTGTTGTCATGGAAATGGCATGACAGGTGTCATTATGTTTTGTTTGTGATATACATTTCTGGTGCCAAGCTTAAAGAACACTGCTTCAATATTTCTAGAGTTATTTTCGAGTGAGCGTTGTGCATGATACGTTTTGTTCAGTTTCACCACTACATGTAAAGGCTACATGTAAACTAAAAGCAATTGCTCATAACAGAAAAATGATTTCGGATCAAAGTCTATGACACGACAAGCTTTCAATTCTTTTTGGTTTAAGTTGACCGTAACACAATAATGAAAAGCTGAAATGGACAAGAAAAAAGACAAAGATCAAAAACTGGCTGCATATACATTTGACAAGATTGCATTTATACAGTAAATGATGTATTATAAATCATCACAGCACTGATCATCAAAAACACTATATAGAGTCTTAACCCACAAGGCCTGCAATTCTTTATAGCAGAGCTCCTGCATGCCAAAGGCGCGCCAGCGGACCATCCATTTCTTAGAAATTTTGGTAACCCATCAAGCCGAGTAAATTTGGTTACGACGTCACTGTACAAGTGATGTCCATCCATCCGTCTCTACAGACTCTGGGGGAGGAGGAAGGGAGTCTCAAGGTGAACTGAACAGGGGAGCTCAAGAATGCCATCTTTTCTCGGCGGGATGAAAACTCATTGCTATATTGTTATGTCTACAAACAATAGCAGAGTTGAAAGAGTGTTTAACTGAGGCAGAACATGAAAGAAAACAATCGGGAGCAAGAATTACTAGTAACAGGACAAGATTTTGAAAGAGAGCAGGCACGGTGAGGTCTAGAGAAAGGGGGGGAAACAGTACTGAACAATGCCATGAATTAGAGCGAGTCAGGGCTGAGAGAAAGGAGATGAAACAAATTGTCTCAGAAGACTACAGAACTTCCCAAGTTAATTTGTGTGTTGAGATGTGCAGCCGTGCAAGGAAAGTCACATGATGTTTACTGTGTTGAGAGAAATTACAGAATGCTAAATACAGCAGAAAACATGGTTGATTCCTTGATCTATCGGAAAGATTAGTTCAGTTCAGTCTTCACTACTTTTGCTGCAAGTTTCTACCTGGAAGACTTAGCCACTGGCTGACCTTGCAGTAAGTGACTGATCTATTGTTGTGGTGTTTTCAAGCCTTTTCTTTACAAATTATCAAGTTGCGTTATCTTCAAGGTACTTTTTCAAAGTCTTCCTGACTTGAAACCATGCTGCGAGACATTAATTTTTTTTTTAAATTACATCGTTTTAATTTCCCTCACTGCTAAATAATAACACTTGAGTCGCTTTGTGGAAGTTGTTGTAAGATGCATATTGTCAACAAATAATTTTCGCTAACCTCACGGACTACAACCTCACGTCTAAAAATAATCAAACAGTAAGCTTATTTGTTTTAGTTTTGATTCTTTTTTTTCACAGGTGCTCGCTTCATAGACTGCTAAAATTTCCTCCTCTATTGCTGGAAACCATGAAAGGTCAATAACCCATTATAAGCTGAAGCCAACAAAATTTGCTTGTTTGTGGTGATCTGCAAATTGTGTCTACAAAGTATGGATTTCCTCATTTTGTTAATTTATTCAGTTTGGTAAAATGCTTGGGGGTTAAAGACTGGCAAAGCCACCGGCAATAAAATGATGTGATTGTAGATAGTACCTGGCCAAGCCATTTACATGCGTCGGTGTGCTTTGAAGAACCTGCAAAGCCGTCAGCAAAAATAATGTTCAAATCTATGCTTAAGCGTGAATAATTATTAACCTTAGGCACTGCAAGTTTTTGACCTTCTGGAGTGTCGTTTTCAGGCTTGTTAATGCATTTCTTGGCTTTACTTTGAATTTGTATCCTTTCATAGATTATTTCAGTCATCCAGGCTTCATTAAAATGGGATTTGCTGTTTGATACTCAGATGTAGTGATATTCGCATATTGTGTTTATTTAGATTTCCTCTTGTCCAGTTAATTCGGTTTGATGAAATGCTTAGTTGAAATGTCCAGATTATGCATGTAAACCCTGTCTGCACATGAAGCTCTACTTTGATTTTGATTTTCTATTTGATTTGGTTGAGGACACATGGCCCCCATTTTCCTTTTGAGAGG